TGTGAACTCATGATTTTGGAACAGTTCAAAAATATTCTTCCTGACAGGATTGCTACTCACATAACAGAACACAAGGTAACTTCCGCGGCTGGAGACGCTGATGAGTTTGTGTTGCTTCATAAGAGCAGGTTCGGAGGGCGCTCTGGGGCACTAACTGTTTGTGAAGGAAATAGGAAGGATGTTGGGATGGATCCAGGGAAATCGAGTTTGATCAAATCTAATGTGGTTAATAACGATGATTTCCACTACTGTCGTAAAAGAGGCCATTGGAAGGAAGAATGTCCTGCGCTTAGAGCTAAATCTGAGGGAGGAAGATGTTTTGTTGGGCCTGTTGCGTTGGCTGCTCCTGTGAAAAGCTGCTGTGGTGCTGATGTGCTTAAATCCCACTTATGTGGATCTGAGGTTTTGGCATCTTATACTCCATTTATACGAGACGGCTTGGTGTTATTGGTAGGTAGTAATGTCAGAGTTCCAATCAAAATCTTGCGGGGCACAGGGGCTTTTGACTCCTATATTGTTGACTCTGTTTTGCCGTTGTCGGATGAAAGTGACACAGGTGACACAGTTCTGAGTTGGGGAATGGGGTTAAAAGTTCTTCCTATGCCTGTTCATAGGGTGTATATTGACTGTGACCTTGTTAAAGGTGAAATAGCTGTTGGTGTTCGTCCAGCTTTGCCAATCGAGGGGATACATTTTATTCTGGGCAACAGTTTGGCAGGTAGCAGAGTTTGGGCTGATGTTCTTCCGGCATTTTTAGTGAATGGTGGGCTGATTGAGTCTGGGTTTGAGGAGAGCTCTACAGTGGTGCCAGAGGTCACGTCCTCCTACGTGATCACACGTGCTATGGCCAAAACTATGTTGCGTAGAAACCAGAAGGCCAAGCATTGCTCCACTGGTCAAAGTGGTCGTGGTGGTGGCGGCGGCTTTGATGGTGGGCGTGGCGGCAGCGGCAGCAGGGGTCGAGGACGTGGCAAGGAAATGTTCTGTTATCGGTGTGGAGATCAACGACATATGGCTAGGGACTGTGACCAAACGGAGGATGTGTGCTACAACTGCAACAAACCAGGCCACATGGCTCGTGACTGTGGGCGATCCAACGACCGAGGTGCTATTTTGCTACTCCTGCGGTGGGCTTGGTCACATCCCAGAGACGTTGTGATGAGCGTAAGGTGGTATATTACATTAAGGGTTCGCCTAAGAGAGGGGTCTATACTATTGGTTGTGTCTTTAAGGGGGGGGGGGGTGTGACGTCCCCTGCTTGGAGGTCTCCTGTGGTGCGTATGGCCCTTTAATGATCCTCCTCTGCTTGTGCCCACACTGATTGAGGACACCTGACATCTCGCACTGGAGGATTAAAAGGCCTGAGCCAGAGCCTCGAGGTCTCTCCCCGCCAGAGGACTGGACCTCGGAGAGCAGGGGCGCTTATTCTTATTTTGCCTTGCCTTGTTTTTTGGCCACATTATGTTTTGCCAAATAATAACTTTTTATATACATATTTTTGTCCTTCCCATGCTTTTTGTTATGGCCAAGAGCCAGACCATGACAACCCCAAGCTGTTGCCTGGCAACGCAATTCTGTTGATAGCTATTTCATATCACAGAAACCCCATATCCCAAAGTGCATTGCGGCTAAAACATCCAAATCATCGAGCTTGAACCATAGCTGAGGATCCTGGGTAATCAGATTGTCGGTGTGTATCGCCTAGGTCTGTTTCCGGTGACTTATTTTGAAATTCAGTTCCTGATGAACAGCAAAAAAGCCCATTATTATAGAATCAAACAAATAAATAAAAAGAAGGATATTTGTGTGTTATTGTTGAGTAAAGTTATGGTGTGTTATTTAGAAAAGAATAACAACTTAGCAGGAAAAAAATACAGATTTCAGCATTCTGAGGCTCTGAGCCACATTCATTTTCCTCGCGGACGGCAAAAAAAGTCAGACATTATACGATTTATAATAAATTAAATAATCGTGGCTTGATATTGAGTAAGATCATGTTTTTATGAACCGCACAGCTTCCGGTCTTCCTAGACCCGACCGCTATTTGGACGTATCCATTGGCATATCATATGCACGCAAAATCTGACTTCTGCGTACCTATTGCACGCATTTCCAATGTGTAAAGTTGTGTCATTTGTACGCAGACTGAAGAGAGTGGGTTGGGTTATATACATGTGTTTTATATGGGTTAAGTGTGTTATATACATGTATGTAACATGTGTTATGTGTGTTAATGTTAGGGTGTTCGTCCTGGTCATGGTGTGTGTGAGTCTGATGTGGATTCCCGTCATCCAGACAGCCAACAGTGGACAGCTGTTCGATTACATCCAATCAGTGACAAGCTTTCTGGCTCCTCCCATCACCGCGGTCTTCCTGATGGCCATCCTGTGGCCCCGTGCTAATGAGCAGGTAAACACACACACACACACACACACACACACACACACACACACACACACACACACACACACACACACACACACACACACACACACACACACACACACACACACACACACACTCACACTCGCCTGTTTGATATAACTCTGCCGATGTAAACTACCCTTTCTGGAACTCTGAGAAGATAATAAAGCAAAAAGACAACATGGGTCGTTTTAGAGTCAGTAAGGAGGAATTATTTTCTTTAATTTGTTTTTAAAGTTCCTAAGTTTACTGGTTCCACATATTGGTCCCCAGTAACCAGTGAGAACAGAGGAAATGTTCTCCAGAGGTTCTCTTGTGTAAAGCAAACCAGGGTTATTGTTCTACTTGATATAGTGTTATAATGTCCCCAGCCTCAGTGACTCTTTAATGTGTCCATGTGCTCCTTAGGGTGCGTTCTGGGGTCTGATGGGGGGGCTGCTGGTGGGACTGGTCCGGATGGTTCTGGAGTTCAGTTTCAAAGCTCCGGCCTGCGGGCAGCCTGACGGCCGGCCTGCGCTCCTGGCTCAGGTCCACTATCTGCACTTTGCCCTGATCCTGCTGGCTCTCACCTGCCTCATCATCGCTGCTGTCAGCCTGGCCACGCCCCCCATCCCTGAAGAACATGTGAGAAACATACATCCACAAACATGTACTCTTTGTGACCTCACAGTGTGTTTACAGCTCATAGAGTCCTGACCCCGGACATGTTGAGACCCCCAAATAGTTCTGATAGAAATGTATAGTAGGGCCTCCAGCACATAGAGACTGCTGGATGCTAACCTGCATATGTTGGGACATTTACACATTAGCACCAGTTGTGTTAGCATTAATTAGCATTATAGCCTAGGTGGGCTGTGGCTTGGCTGATTTAGACAGTTCTGAGGGGTCCTGGGGGTTATTGAGGATGCTGACTCAATTTCTGACATTGTTCAGGGTCTCAGTGGACTGATTTTCATTAGTTAAATGAATTTAGGGTCAATGTAGAATATGTAGGGGGTCATTTGGACGGATTGCTTGTCTATTTGAAAGTACATTGTCCACAGTAGAGGTAATGATGTTCATCCTGTGCTCTCTGTCTTTAATGGTCCCAACACTACTCATGGTAGTCAGAAATGAGTGTGTGAATGAAGACTTTAAGCTGCTGTCTTGTATTTCTCAGTCATACAGAGATACTGTCTGCAGAAAGACCCGGGGTAGAGTTCGGGTTGCATCGTGACACACGGAGGGAGGGGGGCGTGGTGTATCAGGGGGTCCTCAGGTCAACAGAAGGTTGAAGGTCAAACTGTTGGTGCACAGAGAGTAACTTATGTTCTTAATGAGGACGTGAAGCCTGTAAACAGAGGTTAACATTAGAAGGCATATTATTAAAGTGAGTCCCTCTCTCTGCAGCTCTACAGGCTCACCTGGTGGTCCAGACACAGCCAGGAGCCTCGTCTCGACCTAACAGCTCCCCAGGTGACCTCTGGCCCTGTGACCTCTGGCCCGGTGACCTCTGACCCGATGACCTCTGACCCTGTGACCTCTGGTCTGGTGACCTCTGGCCCGGTGACCTCCTGGTGGAGGAGGGCTGCTCTGAGGCTCTGCGGTCTGAATGCTCCCGACTCTGAGGCTGCGGAGCCTGAAGGACTCGAGCTGAACTCCCTGCAGGAGGCGCCGCTCTGGAGGAACGTCTGCAATATAAATGCCCTGCTGCTGCTGGCCATCAACGTGTTTCTGTGGGGGTATTTCGCCTAACCATAGGTGGACTGATGTTCTGGACTGGTGTTCTGGACTGATGTTCTGGACTGATTTTCTGGACTGATGAACTGAACTGGACTGATGAACTGGACTGATGTTCTGGACTGGTGTTCTGGACTGATGAACTGGACTGGTATTCTGAACTGATGAACTGGACTGATGCTCTGGACTGATGAACTGGACTGGTGTTATGGACTGATGTTCTGGACTGATGAACTGAACTGATGTTCTGGACTGATGAACTGGACTGGTGTTATGGACTGATGTTCTGGACTATCTGCTCTTTCTCTCACAAGCAGCAGGTCTACAGACCGTGATGTCAATACAGGGAACCAGCCTTTGTTTTTTTGGTGATTCGTTAATTAAATTATTGCTAAGAAATATATATTAAAATAAAAACCTTTCATTTTTAAAAGTCTACATCATTATTGCCTCATTTTCATAAAGTAATATGATCTATCCAAGATAATTCAGTCAGATGCATTAAAGCCTTTTCTGAAATGTTAAAATGAATCAAAACATGTACAAGAACAATCCTTCTGTATACGAGTAAATAGACACAAGTATATATATATATGTGTTTAACTTCTTACTTTGCAAAGCTTTCGCCAACGATGAAAGTGTTTGAAAAGTCTTAATTTAATGTTCCATTAATACTGGAAGGATGATTCATGTTGGCTGGGATTCTATGTATTATTTACCCTGCCATCTTCAGTCTCTCCATCATGTTCACCTGAGCTGAGGCAGCTGACACATCGCTCCGTTAAACGTGGCAGGAAGTGAAAAGGAAAAAAGGCAGAATTGAGAAAAATACCCAAATTATACGTTTTTTTTAAACGTCGGGATTTTGAAAATAGAGAAAAAGCAGAATTTTGAGATTTTTAGAGAAGTCAAAACATTGACATTTTTATTAAAAAAAAATCTCTATGTGGAGAAAAAAAGTTGGGAATCTGACACTTCAAGAAAATTAGAATTTTGGAAAAAGTCAGAATGACTGGATTTTCGAAAAAAAAATCTGAATTCTATTGCTCATGGGTCTGAAGGAGCCCTGAGACTAGAGGAAGACTCTCTGACCCCCTGGCCATCAACCTGGAGGACCAGCAGGTGCACCGCGGCACTCTGAGGCCCACAGAAGGACCCTCTGACCCCCTGTAGGACCAGCAGGTGCACCGCGGCACTCTGAGGCCCACAGAAGGACCCTCTGACCCCCTGTAGGACCAACAGGTGCACCGCGGCACTCTGAGGCCCACAGAAGGACCCTCTGACCCCCTGTAGGACCAACAGGTGCACCGCGGCACTCTGAGGCCCACAGAAGGACCCTCTGACCCCTTGGAGGACCAGCAGGTGCACAGCGGCACTCTGAGGCCCACAGAAGGACCCTCTGTTCAGGCTGCAGGTGTGCATGGATGTTACTTTAAAGTGAAAACTAAAATAATTGTGATACCATATATCTGCATTAAAAACAATTCATATGTAAAATAAAAAATAGGTTTTGCGATAAATATGTAAAAATATAAAAACCAATTTTTTTTTCTAAATACAAAATATAAATATATTTATATAAGGGAAGCAATAAGTCACAATATAAAATAAATATAACCAACAATACATAGTGAGAAAGGAATTTAAAATAATACTTTACTACAGAATAAAGAAATATATTAATCTATTATTAAAATGCACTCTAATATTTGTTAAAATGCACAGAATACATACTTTATGAATGATTTATTTCTACTTCCTCTCAGATTCACAGACACAAAAGCTGCTGCCTCAATAATCCTTTATAATCTGTGTGTGTGTGTGTGTGTGTGTGTTTAAGCTACATTATAACGTCAACATTAAATGTCTTTCTGTAAAAACATGGGCTTTATTTAAATCACATTATTATCAGAATGCAGCTGCATCTCAATCCCTCTGTTCTCCTCCAATCAGCAGCCACTATTCTGCTTCCATTGGAGCGGAGCCCCACCTCCACTAATCCTGATAGCTGGGGGGTCGGGGGGGCCTGAACGCATCATAACACTGCAGCCTGAGAGACAGGAGGACAGACAGGAGACAGACAGGAGACAGGAGGACAGACAGGAGATAGACAGGAGACAGGAGGACAGACAGGAGGAGAGACAGGAAGACAGACGGGAGAGACAGGAGGACAGACAGGAGAGGTGGACAGATAGGAGACAGGAGGACAGACAGGAGATAGACAGGAGAGAGACAGGAGAGTGGAGGAGAGACAGGAGGAGAGAAAGGAGAGAGACAGGAGGAGAGACAGTAGACAGACAGGAGAGTGGAGGAGAGACAGGAGGAGAGACAGGAGAGAGACAGGAGAGAGACAGGAGGAGAGACAGTAGACAGACAGGAGGACAGACGGACAGACAGACAGAGAGGAGAGACAGGAAGAGGATGAAGGTAGAGGACTGAACTTCCTGAAGATGGAGGGCCGAGGACGGAGAGGAACCAACGGGTCCTTCAAACGTTCGTCCATCAAACGCAGCGCGTCGTCTTCATCACAGAAGGTGAGCCGATTCAAACTCTCACAACTTTATTACATTATATTAAAGATCAGGATGTGCAGATAAATGATCATTTCTTTTCAAAATAAAACACATGAATAACTTCTAAAGTCGGACGTTGTCAAAAGGACCTGCTGCCTGACTTCCTGTTGGTAAAGATGCACTTTAATCTGTTATATATTTATTTATTACCTTGCAGATTATAGTGCATTGTAATCTGTAGTGCATGCTAATCCCTGTTGTAATGATTATAATGTGATTATAATTATTCTCAGTGCTCCTTACTGTATTAAAGGCAACAGTTTGTGCAGGAGTCATTATTATGAAACGGCTCTTAACAGGAAGTGAGCTCTCACAGGTATTCATATTTTAGTAGGATCCCTCTAACCTGCAACCTCTGCTTTATTTAGCAGCTGTGGTTTCTGTCACTGTTCACCAAGTCAAGTATTTTCAGGAGCTCCGTGAAATACAGTTTCTCAAAGAATGGATTCTCTGTGAAACCAGAAGCTCCAGGAAACACAACATCGAAAAGTTTCAAAATGAAAATATTTATTTATAGACACATGCATGTTCCAGCATCTGGAGTAGCTTTTTTGTAAATGTATTTTATTTTTCATTTACACTTGACATCTATTGCAGTCTGTCCGTCCTGAGAGAGGGATCCTCCTCTGTATGGAGTCAGCATTGGGTCAATATTCTAGCGCGCAAAACAAGCTACTCACGAGCGGAAAATGTGCTTTTACACGCGCATAAAACGACCTTCGCGCGCAGATTAAACCCACGCGAGAGAGACAGCCCTCTTGCTCGCGTGCGAGAGTTTCAGCCAATCAATTAATTTTATATAAAACAATATATTTTTGAGTGGGCTGTATCTGTTGAAAACTGCTAGCTACTGTCTGCTGTACGCTCTTAGAAGTGATGTGTCCAAAATGACACAACATGTGTTGAATTTCAACACACCTACAGAGTGTGCTCAGGTACAACACGTGTTGTGTTTATTTATGTCTAAATCATTTTACACAAAATGTGCACATTTTACACATTGTGTGTCATAAATGTGTAACCAAGATGAACACACTCATTTGTTATTTCTTCACATTTTGTGTTCTATTTCTTTAACCAGAATTAACATTTGATTGTGTTATATCTGCACATTGTGTGTCAATGACGATTACTGGAAGTACCAGGTGGTGGATATGGTTTTTATTCCAAATTCAAGAATACATTCATTGGACATTTATTTACAAGGATTTCATTAGCACGATATCTCATTAAGAAAATACTTTTTAACATTAAAAAACGATCATCAAATGTTGACAGAACAGATGATTCATAAAATCACACCTAAAAAAACCTTATACCTTGGTTAAAACAAACTTAGTGAGGACATGCAAATATGTTTGTTGCCTACAACAAAGACAACCAATGATCTTAAAGCTAACTATGTATATATATATATATGTATTTAGTTTTACATTACACAACACCCTGTTAGTGTATTAATTCATTGCTTTAAAATATTTTTAATTTGTTTTCTCAACCCACTCTCTTCAGTCTGCGTTCAAATGACACAACTTTACACATTGGAAAATGCGTGCAATAGATACGCTAAAGTCCGATTTTGCGTGCCTATCATACGCCAACTATTCCCATTGAGTTCTGAGTCCGAGTTTTGCGTGCATATGAGACGCAAATTGATACAGTCGGGTCTGAGAAGACCGGAAGCTGTGTGGTCCATAAAAACATGTTATTACTCAATATCAAGCCACGATTATTGATTTTATTTGTAATCGTATAATGTCAGACTTTTTTTGTCATCTGTGAGGAAAAGAAATGTGGCTCAGAGCCTCAGAATACTGAAATCTGTATTTTTTAAAATCTTTTTTTCTTTCTAATTTGTTATACTTTTCTAAATAACACACTGTTATTTACTCACCAATAACACAACATTATCCTTGTTTTTATTTATTTGTTTAATTCTATAATCTCAGGCTTTTTAGCCGTTTCTCAGGAACTGAATTTCAAAATAAAGTCACCGGAAACAGACGTAGGCCTATAAGGGACATTTCGAGCATCATCGCGATACACAACACAAACCCACTGAACCGATTACCCAAGATCCACAGCTAGAAGCTCGTGATTGGATTGTTTAGCCGCAATGCACGTTGGGATATGGTGTTTATGCGATATGAAATCTGAAAAACATTTAAAAAAAGAAAATAGTACTTTATTCCGAGTGTGCTTGCTTTTCTCTTTGAAAGTCATCACATAACGGCATTGTAATACACGGTTCGGCTGCATTACATATTACACATCTGCCGTAGTTCTTTATTTATAGAGCCCTGATGAGAAGACTTCTAGACAAACAGGAAGAACTGCCACGGAAACTGAATATGTGACGTGGATCATAAATATATCAGCAATTAAACAACATCTTACATTTCTCTTCACACAATACGTCTCCTCGCAGTATCAATAATAATTTGGCTAACTTTTATATTTGATCCAATCGGTAGATAGGCTGTATTTACACCATAACGGTGCACAGCTGATAGAAAAGGACTTGTAGTTTTTAAAGATATTACTGATTTTCTTTGAATATAAGAATGTAAATACTGAGTTGAGAGAATAGTCAGGGGTTTTGGGTGATGGGAGACACATCTATGGA